CAACTTCAAGAGTGCCATGGCGAATGAAGTTTTTGACGAACTAAAATAATAAATACTCAATGAATGATTTAAAACTTGTAGCAGAAATTATAGATAATTTATTAGGAAGTAAACTATTAAATGAAACTGCCATCAAAACTTCAATTCAAAGCAGTTTTAAAATCAAGATAACAAATCTGAAACAATTAATTTAAAAATCTGATTTCTTTTTAAATCTGACTTTTTATTAAAATGATTTTCAATTTTCTTCTTGTTCCATGAAAAATAATTATGCTTTGCTTGTGGTGATAAGGTTAAAGCTGAAGAATTTAAAGAAGCGATAGTGATAGATAATGCAAAAAAATGATTTTTTTATGATTTTTCTTTTGTTTTCTTTTTAATAAAAAGCAAGAAAGTAATGAACGTTTAACATCTTTCTTCACTTAACAATTTAATATTTATTTCTTGTTGTAATTAAAAGGAAAAAATCGATTCTACATATATAAGAAACATCCATTCATTCAGTTTTTCTTTTTGTTTTCAAGTTTTTTTCCTATTGTCACCTAAACATTAAATCTTCTTTTAGGAAAAATAATTTAAAATGTGATTTTATTTATTTTTTTGTTTCTTTGCTTTGTTATTTATTTTTCATTTTTTTTTGTTGCAATAAGCAAGCCAACAATCGGTGAAGTTATTCAGGAATTGGCGAAATTTTTTTCTTACTTTTCAACTTATTGAGCTTAATTTTTTTTGCTAATTTTATTGTTGATGATATTAATCAACGTTGAAAGTAATGATATCTGTTAGATCATGATGATGAGTTCTTTCCTTGATTCTTACTTATGTACACATTTAATAATCTGTGAATAAATCAATTTATGAATTTATCTTTCAATTTACTTAACAATTTACTTACCTAACTTTGCTGGCATTTAAAAGCGCAAATTTGGGCTTTACTTTCTCTTCGCCCATTACGAAATACAATTTAACAATACAAAAGACAGCGGCTTTGCGAACCATCGACTCTTCAACATCCGCAAGCTGTTAATACAATTTTCAACTTCATTAGCAAAATCAAATTAATAATGACAACTTTCACACTCACTCTTGCTATATTTGGCATCAAAATGTCAAGATGATTATCAGTGAAGTCCTTGCCTTGTTGATCAGCCAAGTCACGAAGAATTTTTAACGCACATAAATTGCTTGGAAAATCGCCGGTAGCAATGACTGGATTAAGAATGTTAATTGAAGTATCAACAGGGAGAACCGCCGATATTTTGCCTATAATTGAATCAATTTCACGTTGAACCTGCGAAGAAAAAGAATGTTTAAATGAAGAAGAAAATTTTTAAATTAAATCAACAAAATTCACCTCCTTTCCTGCTTTATAACAATCGATGATTTTCAAAAGAATTAATTCAAGAAAACCAGTCCAATCTTCTCGCATTGGAGAACTTCGAATAATTTTTGACAATATCTTTAGTGCAGCTATCATCACCACAGGATTTTGTGACTCAATCATCTTAAGAAGCGTTATCATAATTTGTCTAAACGTGATTGAATATATTGAGAAATTTATTAAATTTTCGATTTCATGAAAAAAGCTTACTTAAAGTATTTTTTAGGCAGGTCACATGTGCCATTTGCTATGCAAGTTGTCAAGTTCAAGAACACTTGAACGATGTAATCAGTATCGGCGTTTTCTATATGTGCTAAAGCCACTGCTTGTTTTATAATTTCACTTTCTCGAATGCCATCTGTAAAGTAGATTAATTTAAATGATTTTGTTTACAATTAATTAAAAGTAATTAAACTAACGACACTCACTTTCCAAAACAATTTCGTTCTTGTCAATTGTGAAAATTGGTGCAACTTTTTGTCCCATATTCTCCAATTTTACAGTATTTTCTGGAGTGTTTGATTCAGTTGTTGCTGATGATTGTGTTTTTGATCCATTTATAGAGTCGTCTTTATCAATTGATCTGTAAATTAGATTAAGATTAAAATCAAGATTAGATTAGATTAGGGATTAGATTAGATTTAGAATCAAGGTGAGCTTACCCAATATGACCATTGAAGCCATTAGCTGGCGCATGTAATAAATGATTCTCGCCCATTTGACTAATCCCCGAATCTTTGCTGTTCGCATTACGGTCCAATTTACTTTCAAACGTGTAATTTTGAATTTCTGCTGTTGTCTTACGAAGATTTTTATAAACTTCTTCATGATTGATTGATGAGTGATCAACTTCAACGCTAGTCTGACGTGAACGAGGACCTGTTGGTTATTTAATATAAATAATGAATAAAAGAAGAATTACAGAAAAAAAAGAATAAATAAACTTACTAGAAATGTGATTTTGCAGACTATGAAATTGGCCAAACGAAGGTGGACTCATCAATGGCTTAGGACTTGACCCAGAAAGTGGAGATGACGGACTGTTAGTTCCTATTTAAAAAAATAAATAATAATATAATGATAACAATAAAAATAAAAAGAGGAAACACTTTTATAAATTCGTCGCTTTGGGAGTTCAACCCTAACATCGTGAATTTTGTAATAACTTGAGAAAGTTTTCTTGATCGAAGTTGAACTTTGATATTTGAGAGAAAAAGAAGAAGCTAAACAAGAGGAATAAGAAGTTATCAATGATAAATAGAGAACGGAGAATAATTACAAAACTAGTTTATTTTTGTTAGTTCTAAACTAGTTTATTACTTAACATTTATTAACTACTTAAAGCGGAATTATGTTTAAAAAACAACGTCAAAATTGTAGAAAAACAGAGAAAGATTCAACTGGAGGATTGTTAGCGTTAAACATCAGTTTCACCAGATCTTAACTCCACTGGAGTGTTCAACATACCTGAAACATTATTACGTAAAGGTGTTGAAATGTAAGTTCGAGCTTGATCTTGATATTGTTTCGGGAGATTTGCTAGAATGAGTGTCATCTGAAAGAAAAATTTAATCAAAAATAATTCAACAAACACTTAAAGACAACAAACATTTGCTGGATTTAAATTATACAAAGCAATGATGCAATGTCGTGATTGCTGCTTCAACTCCATACTCTTTTGATCAGCAGTATAAGTTAGAACTTTAAGGATTGCTCGATCAACTGGCGGCGTTGTCATAAAATTATCAGCCATACAATATTGTTGTGCTAATGTTGTCAGAAATTTAACGCTTGCATATTTTGTTTTAACATTTGGCGTTTGTGTTGAATCAGTAAGAATTTTAAAAACACTTTGAAGTTGAAGATTTGCTGGAAAATATTCATAAATGAGACGAAGAGTCTTCCAAACTTTATCGTGCATCGATCCAAGTAAATCTGTTCCAAGTTTATTAAACAACCGCGTAAGAAGAATGAAAAGCCAGTCATGAAGATCATTCGAATGCGATAAAATCAATTCGTTGACCGTGTCCAAGAAAAGCGAATAAACTTTAATATGCGGATCCATAAACATTTTACGAAACAAGTCCAAGATGCATTGTAATTGTTGTGCTGTCAACATTTTTCCTTCTGACAAATATTGCGTCATATTTGTGAGACCATCTTTACGTTCACTCCAATGTGTTGATGCACAATACTGAATAATGGTGTCAATGTCGTCAATTTGCTTAGCTGATCCGTCAAGACGCGATCTTGAACCATTCCATGAATAAGAATCGTTACCACGACGATATGAATCGAACGATCTTTCCGAACAAACAGAAGACGCTTCACTCCCATCATCAGACTCCTCACGTGAAATTTTACGCGTTAATGTAAGTCGCGCAAGGTCATTTTGGAAATCTTGTTCATCAGGCGACAAAGTTGATTCAGCTTCACGACTTTGTTGTAACATTTTTTGTGCTGAACTCTGACGACCTGGATTTAATGGTGGACGTTCAGCTCTTCGAGGACTACTCGTTGAATGAAGTTGCCGACGGTTTAATGAACCAAATTGTGACTGACCACGTGATGGGCTTGTTTCACGTGAGTTCACGAGTGATCTTGGAATGCCTGTCGTTGCTTTCTTGGGAACAGTTCCCGTTTGCCGATATCCTGAATAGCCAGGTGTGTAATGATGAAGGCGTGATGATGGTGAAGAGCTACGTGATGATGCTAAATAACAAGGAAATTTCATTATTTTTAATTATATTCCAATGAACTATTTTCAAGACTTACGTTGAGATTGTGAAACTCCAGCTTGTCTTGAGCGAACTTGTCGTTCAGGTGATGATTGTTGTGGTGTTGCTGTTACTGATGTGATTTTCTTAACACGGGCTGTTGATTAAATTATCAAAGCGGTAAAGAATAAAAAAGAGAAGAAAAGTTAATTGACTGAGGATGAAAAATTTTAAAGTAAATTCAAAATTTTTAAAATGAAAAATGAAGTAAATCAAGTACCTTGCTGTGCATATTGTCCTTCTGTTATCGGTTAGTTTAATGAACCATGCAATGGAAATGTTTAATGAAAGATTTAGAGAAAATAGAAATGATGATTTAGTAATGAAGGCATTGAAACTTTAGATATCAAACCGGTGGTGACCGGCAACTGAAAAACCGGTGTTTTTGCCGGAATATTCGAAATTCACTTCGGGTAACCGAGAATCGAATAATTGTAATGATATCTGTAATTTGAAAGCTTTTGACTACTTACGGACAGACGCTGATCCCGCTGCCATTTTCAATCGTGACATATTAGCATATTGAGCTCTTGCTTTGGCACGTTGTACTGCATTTGCATCGACTGCCGAAACACTTCTAAAGTTACTCGCTACAATAACAGAAAAAATTGAAGGGACAAAGACAACGATAAGCTATGATTAGTACAACTTCAAAATATACAAAATAAATCAAAGCAAGCGACATAGAAATTAAAATTTACAATAAAATTAGTTAGTGACATTAAGATTTCACATGAAAGCATCAGAGCCAACCTCTAGGAAGCTCCCGATGAGCAACTGGTATTCCACTTCGATTTCTATAAGATCTTGGCAATGAAGGAACACGCGACAATCGCGAAGCGTTTGCTAAATTTTCAGTGCTCACACTTGGCGAGCCGACTAATGTGAGAGTTTATCAGTTTTTTTAATTTAAGCGATCCAAAAAGTGAAGCATGAAAATTAATAATTTTGAGTTAATTCATTTGTTGATTAGCTCAAGAGTTAAGATTTCATAAAAATTTTGGATTTAAGCAAAAAATATTTAAGTAAAGAAAAAAAATTCTACCTGGCTGTGTCGCTGCAGGACTACGTAATCCAGATGACTGTCTCCGTTCTAAGTGATTTTTTATATGAGAGTGCAATATGAAAAGATTTGAATTATTTTTAGGAAATTCTATTCATGAACTTAAAAATATTTACAAAGGGGAAATGACGTGAAACTTTCATTGAAATTTATTTTCTAAACTAGGTATGAATTTCAATTTATTCACCAAAAGATTTTCTGTTTTTGAGTTATTTTCTGAGGACGTCAGTTTCTAGTTTTGATTTTGGAACTTTTTAATTTATGCGAACGGCGGCCATGTTTAACTTTAAAAATTTGGAAAATCACACAAACTAAAGTTACAGAATCAATTTTTCCGCACTCGTTATCAAACGAAGGATCACTTTTAATAATTTACACTTCTTCCGTACACTCATAATAAAGACGTAAAAATAAACAAACACATACTATAAACACCACCAGGCATAGAATTAAGACTCGAACTACTTCCACGAAGACTAGCACTCATTGAATTTGTACCATTAGATCCAGCGTCGCGTTCTTTCTCGACTTGCTTCTGTGTTGAAATGTCCAATGAACCATAAAGTTGATCAGCAAGATCCGGGAAATGTTTCCGGAAACTCCAATAAGATCTGAAAACAATGAGAATTGTTTATAATTCAATTTAATTCACATAAACAAAATAAATTTTAAACTCACCTTCGACTATGTCGACGAGCTTCTGCATCAGCATCGCTTATTCCTTTTTTCACTGAATCTCTTAACAACAATTGATGTTTTTCTAAAGCTCTAGTTGGCCATTCTTCAAACACCATATTAAGAAGCTCACAAAGATTCGACCGAATATCTTTTGATTTTGATTGCATGAGATTCGATGTTATAATCGGAAGAAGCTTTGGAATGTGTGAGAATCTTATGACATATCTGAGAGCCAATGTTCCAGCACTTGAAATGATTTTAGCTGAATTTTGAATTAAATTTATCATCTCGTGAAGAATGTAAACGAGAAACTGATCCAATTTATTTCTTAACAATTTTGACATGTATGCGAGTGTTATGCAAGCTTCACGAATGACTTGAGAGCGGAGCTCTTTGAGGATATCGAGGAATGAAATTGATAAGTCCTTAAGTTGCTGAGGAAAGTTTGGATTTGTTTGAGCATTGAGCATCAACAATGATCGAAGCTTTTTCAGTGCATCAACTCGCTTCTCCCAGTCCATGTTCTTATCACCAATTGTTACATTAATTGTCTTCATAGCTTCATCGATGTCACGTTGCCCAAACACGGTAATTTGTGGAACATTTTCGAAAGATGCTTCAAAAATTTCTTGCGTAACTGCACCAGCTTGAAGTGACATATTCTCGCCACTTCCAATATTTGTCGGTGTATCATTAACACCGTGCTTTCTTGCAGATGCTGTTGCTGACATTGTTCGTTTTACTAATTTTGTTGGTCTCAATGGTGGTCCCAATGATGCAGCATCAGCTTCGTCGTAATTTGTTAATGCGGCATTCAATGCTGATGCCAGTAACAATCCATCGTGCTTAACTTCATCAAATTTTTGTTCAAGTGTTGCTAACTTTTGTGGAGAAATGTCTTTCTTTCTCAGATCCTGACGCAAACGATCACCAACGTGTTTGTAAATTTCTACAAGTGTTTGAAAAGCTGCATCGCGAACAACTGCAGTTGGATCCCCAAGAAGTGCTACAATTGGTGATATAAATGCTTTGACGCTGATGGCGTGTGTGCCGTATCTAAAGAAGTAAATTAAAATGTGAGTTAAATTCCTAAAAAACGATCGTCAAGGTCCAACTTACTCATTTAATGTGTTGACAATTGTTTGAAGGAACTCTTCGCGGATTTTAGCGTTTTTATGCTTGAAGCATCCAGTGAGACTATCTAATAATTTTTGAGGTGCAACAACACGACATTCGATAAGCTTCTGAAGCAGCAATTGAGCCTTCTCTCTTACAGTATCACGACTATCACCTAATCGATCAACAACATGAGGGAGAATGTTTGATGTGTAGGCGTTGAAATCTTGACCCAATCTTTGCACCAGTTCTGTAAATGCTTCTAAAGCACGTTGGGCGATCTGTAAAAGAACAAAATTATAGAGTTAAATTATGTTAAAACAAAGATTCATCAACAGATGGCAGAAAATATTAAAAATCTCAGTTTAAGCTTTAAACGAAAAGGAAAAAAAAATATTCTCGAACGATGACGTCATTTATTTACTTTGTGTGTCAACAAATAAAAATATATAAAGCTTCGTCGGTCTGGTTGAGTGATCTTCAAGCAAACAATGAATCTTCTATCAAGAACTTTTCGCTTGTTTTCTTACAGTTTAAAATGACTGAATGCAATTCGAAATGAAATAGAAACTTGAATCTGCTGCTTTGAAAAGTTATGTGTCGCGTCTTGAAATGCTGGAGGAGAACTAGAATACATTTGTGTCTCGAATTTGGAATAACATCTTAAAACCCACGAGATAAAAAGAATTGTGGTGGTGATTTGCGAACATGAGACAAAAGACTCGAAAAAATCTCGTCATCTTTATCATTTAATGACCACAACGAGTGCAGATAATGATTTGAATAGAATCTTCTGCTCTGCTTTTTTTCTAGAATCAATTTCATAATAAAGTTCAATTCATTTTAAAAGAAACGAATATGACATTAAAGGCCATTTAAAAAGTGAAGAGACAATGTGAAAAAAAACGAAACTCACGGCCCACGTTCAATAATTCACTCAAAAGAAACGTTGTTTTCATTTGTTGTAGCGTTGTAGACGACGCACTGACCAATTGGTCGATATTTTGTAGCCGACTTTCATACCGATGCGAAAGCGAAAGAAAGAAGAAAAGTTTTCATCGCTTTTTTAAAAATAATTCAAAAGATTTATTTTTACGTCATTCTATCTACACGGCGATTTAAATTATGGAGATTACGTCTAAAGACAAAACCAAATAATGAATTGGAGTGAAACTTTCAGGCATATTTATTAGAAAAACTTTTTATTGTGGAATTTTCAAATAGTTCGTCGTAATGATTGTGAATGCAATGAACTGAAAGGAATGAAAAGGAGAGCGATGAAAATAGCTTCAAATTTCACGATTTTTTTTCCTTTCGTTGATCTTCATTCATTGTTCTAATTCAATTTAAGTAATTCATTTTATAGACCGGATTATGTTACATCACAGTCTTTTATCAGCAAGAGTTTGAAATGAAAGACTTAATTAAAACAGTTCATTAATTAAACATATTGCATCGAAGTTAATTTACTATTCCATTATTATGAATATTTCACGAATTCTATGACATAACATCTTTATTTGTTGAATACAAATTTAATTATCACTGTTGAGTTTAGGTAAGAAGGAAACGAATCAATCACTGAAGATGAAGATGGTGAGAGAAGAAATAAAGTAAGAAGAGAAAAACAGCAAAAGATCAGCAACAACAACAGAAAGAAACCTCGCAAAATGAACTTCTATCACAGATGATGTCACTTTACGACTTTGAGGTCACTTTTGGTAATCGCGCTTAATGCTATTCAGCGGCAGCGTTTATGAGAACATGCAAATTTAAATACAATCACATATAAATATTTTTGTTGTTTTCTCAGCTTGTTCTCTTCTTCTTTCTCACACTACGGCTTTTGTGTAATAATTTTTTGTTTTTCTTTCTCCATAGTTCTTCTAACTTCTACAAAAAAAATTTATCATCCGCGAAAAATGTCAACATAATGAAAAAAAGCAACTTTCGTGTTGTTTGAAATATCAAATGAACGAAAAGTTTGTGTTTTGGATGGAACTCGTTGAAACTAGAAAATAAAAACTTTCTTAGGAACTTTTAACGTGAAGGTTTCAAACTTCAAGCTTAATACTTATTCGTATTTTTATTATATCTTACTTCCATTTTATTCCAATGTCATGCGGAAACTCTCCGAGCCATATTCAATTCATGTGGTTTATTTTATTTTATATTTCATTCAATGCGAATTGCGCACGTAACAACAGCTTCTAAATTAATGATTGCGTCTTTTCAAACAATAAGAACATCAAACTCGAGAAAATTACTATTGAATGGAGCTATAAAGTTTAAGTTCAAGTAATGATTATTCTTATTCGAATCAAATGAAGTAAGGAGAAGTTTCAACCTTAAGCACACATTCACATCTTAGTGTAAGAAACAGAAACATTGTCGCGGCACACACAACAGTCAACAATGCCGGGTCGCAATACCAACACTAAACATGCGAATAAATTAATTCAGATTAAGCAGATTATGATGTTTTTATGGAAATGGTTCAAAGTCATCAAAATTGGTGAATGGAAAAAAAGGAAAAAACAAATCAAAAAGTTTTTGATTTCGTCGTCAAAGCATTTTTTCTGTTTATTTGTTGTTGTGAATATTTTTGGAAGCACCAACAACCGATTTTCATCTATTTATAAGTTTACATCCATCGAAACCTACTTTTCTGTAGACACACGATGATGCATCACGTTCTCAATGCGTATGCTTTTTTTGCCATCAAATCAATACGATTTTTCATTGAAACTATTTACAAATTTTCACATTCACGTCTATGAGTCATTAGAAAAAATTTATTTAAAAAACAATTTTCTCATTTGTTGTTTTTGAAGGAAAAAGTAATTTTTTCTACAAATTGATTAGAAATTGAAAGTCTCGCGCTGAGATTGATTATAATCGATGGATTAATTGATGAGTTAAGAATGAATGTACGAGTGAAATCCAACAAACAAAGGCTAATTTCACGACCATAAATTGCATTATTTTACGACCATACATGATTGGGTGTGCCGTGAAGTCACAAAAATTGAAGCAAACTTTAGTAATTTATAAATTAATTAAGCACACGATCCTTTTTTTTCAGCTTGATTAACTTGATTTGGAGATGGAAGCGGAAACTGAAGAAATCTCTCGAATCTCTCGTTATTTTTAATAGACAATTATAGCAATTTCTACACAAATTAATCGATTGCTTTGGAAATTAAAATAATCTCAAGTGGATCATAAAATTATCTCTTCATAATGTGCAGAAATTTTCATTTATTAATATTTTTTTCTTTAATATTTTAGGAAAATTAAACGTGTACACACATCATGAGCACATCATCAAAAGAGAACGAGAGTTGTCAATAAAATTAACATTCCATCACTATCTTATCGCACGCTTAAACGTGTAGATATGCTTTGTTAATTAAGCTCACCTTAAAATGACTGCCTGTTAGCCATGGCATGAGGGCATCAATGAGCATTCCCAAGTCAGTGCACACTAAAGAATTCTCATAATCACTGAGGTAATTCACTAAGTCTTCAGATAGTATCGTTTTAATGCGCACATCCGACTTTCCCATTTGTGTGATGAATCCATCCAAGTCAGTAGGCTTCACATATGCCATTTTGTTGCGTTAATCCTTCACACTGTCTACTTGTTTCTATCACTTTTCTGTTATTATATTTAATATTATCGGATGAATTTCACTCTAAACATTTGCCATTCACTTTCTTATTTTATTGGTTGATCTTTTTCTTATATTTTTTATTATATATCTAGGTAGATATTTTTTGTTTCTGCAAATATTTAAACTTCGTGCTTATTTTTGTCGCAATATTTCCAGCCAATCACATTTTTTTACTGACAATTTTGAAGCGAACTGTAATTTAAAGTGAAATAAAACTGAATACAATATATTTATTTAAGATCCAGTAATGCTCGTAACCGGAATATATGATTTTCAACTTTTTTTTCTCATTTTGCGAATTTCAAAAGCAACAACAAAAAAACATAACGAGAAAAATGAAATTTCAATGTCAAATATGATTCAAATCTTACCACAAATATACACAAACTACTGTTAAGAAAGCAAATTATTGAATTGTAGTTAGATCTGTTGAAATTTCGTAGGATTAGTTACTATTTTTTAACATTTTAGCGCGATGAAAATTCGTTCGGAGCAGTTGTAAAGATTTTTTTCTCAACTGAAAAACTTCGATATAACGGAGCTACAAGGGAAATGTAAGTGTAAATATTTTCAAACAAAACCTTGATGTTATGACAAAAATAATTCCTTATATTGAGGTTCAGTTCAAAGTCCTCAAAGCTTTGCACAATACGAAAGCTTTGTTTTATTTTTATTTACGCATCGAAAATATTTCCCTTTAGTTTCCCTCCGTATTTATCATCCTTCAACACGACTTTTCTCTTATCAGCAATCGCGAGAAAAAATTTGTTACTGAAACACATCGAAAAATCGTGAAATAAAATAGCAAAATCCGTAGATTTGTAAGTTTTGAAATTATTTCTTCTTGACACGTCATAAAAATAATCACATTAATCATACTGTTGATTTATTCATAGCCTTTTATGATACCAGTTCCCCAAAAATGGCCTCAAATCGTATAGAGAACATGGTGCTTACTTCAACACTCCCAAAGCAGACTGATCAAAGTGTTGCCATCGACATAGATTCAAATCCTTCGCAACCACTGATTGTTAAAGAACAATTTCCGGATCTTAAGATTTACGGCTCTCTTGATGAGTTCCACAAAAATCTACCAGAAACTGTTGTATGGTGGCAAGCACCAAATGGTAATAACATTTATCTTGTAGGCACAGCGCACTTTAGTGAGGCATCGCAAAGAGATGTCGCTTTCGGTAACTTATAAAAGCATATTTAAAACAGAAATTATATTAATTACACTTCTTTAGTAATCAGAAACGTCCGACCTCGAACTGTAGTTGTTGAATTGTGTGAATCTCGTGTTCATATTCTTAAGCATGACGAGAAAACTCTTCTAGAAGAAGCTAAAGATATTAATATGCAGAAAGTTAGAAATGTCATAAAGACGAATGGATTTTTTAATGGAATGTTTTACATTCTCTTACTGAACATGTCAGCAAAGTTAACAAAAGAGTTAGGCATGGCTCCTGGTGGTGAATTTCGCACGGCAATGAAAGAGGCTTCAAAAATTCCCAACTGCTTAGTTCATCTTGGTGATAGGCCAATTAACATCACACTTCAACGTGCTATTAAAGGTCTCAGTTTATGGCAAACTTTGAAACTTGTTTACAAACTTATGTCGTTCGATGATACAATAACAAAAGAAGATGTTGAGCAATGCAAACAAAAAGATTTACTCGAAGAATTGATGAAAGAAATGGCTGGAGAATTTCCAGCATTTGGTGAAGTTTTTGTCAACGAACGCGACATGTTTCTCGCTCATAGTCTTCAAAGAGCATCGCTTTCTTCCTCGAATTTAATGAACGCTAGAACGCAAAGTGCAGTTAATAAAGGTTCAACAAATGTTGTCGCTGTCATGGGCATTGGCCACAGTGCTGGTGTACAAAAATTCTTTGGACAACCCCTTGCTGATGAAATTCCCCGAATCATGATCATTCCAAAAGCTCCCTTAAGCACAAGAATTTTTAAGAATACAGTAAAGTATGGAACTCTTACTTTAATCGGTTACGGCATCTATCGATTTACGGCTCCTTACTTAAGGAAACTCTTGTAATTAATAATCAATACAAACGAAACCAGTTGAACTGAAAGAAATAAAGTAAATTCAATTTCCTGCTCTTCTTAAAGTATTAAGTAATCAAATTAAAAATAAATTATCTTTGTTTTATGTATGTTTGTTCGTTTCTTTTGTTTTTGAAATAATAAAAAAAAGTTTTATTTTAATTTCTGTTTATTCGACAGTTTCACGCTGGTTGATTTTAATAAAAATGGAATGAAAAAAAATGATCGAAAACAAATGTTTAATTTGTGAAAATTGTTTATCATCACAGTTTAAGTTTTAGTCGAAGTTTTTTGCACAACGGAATGAGAGATTTCCTGCTGATGAATCTTCGGAGTTTTGAGACCGGGAGGCACATCGATAACGATAGCAATAAGAGATATGACAGAGATAACTTCCACCTTTCTTTACTCTATCTGGATTTTCTTTTTTAGCTTGTTGCCCGTTCCAAAGGTCGCTCGTCCATTCCCAAGCATTACCAACAATGTTGTACAAATCGTAATCATTTTGACGGTATTTATCTACTGGACATGTTGAGATTTCACCATCTTCAGCTGTGTTGACGTCAGGAAATTGTCCTTGCCAAATATTCAACCAATGTTGATCTTTCGCCATCAATTTATTGCCCCATGGAAAAAGTTTTCGCTGCTTTCCACCACGACAAGCAACTTCCCATTCGTGCTCAGTTGGAAGTCGTTTTCCTTTCCATTTACAGAAGGCTACAGCATCATTCCATGAGACATGAACAACGGGATGATTTAATCGATCATCAATTGATGATCCTGGACCTTCGGGTTGCTTCCAATTGGCATCTTTTATTTTGAACCACCACGGCGCTTGTAATACTCGAAAATCCTTGTATTCTTTTTGAGTTTCAGGACTGAGAAAAATCTTAAAAACGAAACTATCACCGAATTTTTCAGCCTCACTTTTATACCCTGTAGCTTTGACAAACTCTAGAAAATCACTGTTCGATACTTCAAACTTATCAAGATAAAACTTTTGGATTTCGATTTCTTTCTCGGGGCCTTCATGGTCCGCTTCAAATACCGGTTCGTTCGTACCAACATGATACTTTCCACCAGGAATCAATGACATGTTGTCATAGTCCTTGGCATGCTTCATTATACTTCCTTGTTCGTCATCGTCGTCATTTTTTTTACCAGACGTCTCAGAATTTTCAGATCTTTCATATTTTTTAGCCCTTTCTTCTCGATTTGCGGCCGAACAACCACAATCAGAGTTTGTCCCACTTAAAATTGCTAGAATTATCAGTAAACATACGATGAAATATTTATAAAACATTCTTTAACAGGCACAGTTGATAATTTTTTGCAGTCGAAGCTTAAGCTCCAATAGTGTAAACATTGAAGCTAATTGATGTGTAGAAGTCATGTCAGCTCCGATTGAATGTGTAGAAATTGTAAATTCAAAATTTTAAAAGCCGTTATTTTAATGTTTCAGGAAATTAAATGAATGTTGACGATATTTTACCACGTGTTGAATGCTTTTGATAATAATTTCACACTTCGCTTATGACATTTAAACAAACTTTGCTTTGAAGACAACCCTTATCTAGAAAATTACAAAATTAAGTTGCGACAATCAAATAAATTTGTTAACGTAAGTAAACAATATTAAATTAATTATAATTCTATTAATAATTCCAAACAGCAGAGTAAATGCTCAATTTCTTAGTCTTCACTTGATTTATTGCTTCATTTAAATCTTCAATACTGTATAATTGATATTTTTGATTTTTAATTTTCATTTTAACTTTCTTATTTCACTTTTTATTTCTCTATTGTTTACAAAAAAAGTTCAAATGACAGTCAGACGGGAAAAAACTTGATCGTTGTTTTTTTTAGGTCCAAATTTTCATTTCTCGAAGTTGAAATGGTACCAACAATTGGTACAAAACTTCACTTCAAAAAATATTAATTTTATCCCTTATTTCGCGTT